TTATTATTATTATTATTATTATTATTATTATTATTATTATTATTATTATTATTATTATTATTATTATTATTATTATTATTATTATTCATCTTTAAAAGCAGTTTAGGAAATTTCACCAGTAAAAATCTGATACTGCTTGACTTTTTTCTTTTTCTTCTTTTCTTAGTCACCTGACCCTTACTAGAATTACCTTTTGTTGACTAAACAAAGTGGGAATATATCTTTATAGGGATAATTGTCATCTTATTTTCAGGAAGATTTCTTTCACTCCAAAATGTGTATGTTTAAAAATTATGTGATTGATCTAAGAGTGTTTATATTGCTGCTTTTGAAATTTTGCTTGATTTTAATTAAATGGAAATGGGGAATTAAGTCTTCCCTCTCTCTGATATTGTGCTCTTTTGTTGAGTGCAGCAAGCTGGCTGAGTTGGCAGGGTTTAGCTGTGCCCTATATTATTAAGAAGGATTTATGGTAATGGCAGGCTCCCAAATGCTTTTCAGCCATTCTGTCATCTTTTTTAGTGCTCCGATTTGTCTCCCCTTTACTCTCTGTATCCCAGGATGCTCCCAGGTCCACTCATGATGTATCAGTTTCAAAGAAGCTTCATCAAAGCAGCAAGTAAGTACTTTCCCCACGACCTCTTGGAGGAGACAGTGGAATGTGTGAATGTAACTTCATAGCTCCTTGCAATTCATTGGCACAGAACAGATTTTTAAGGATCTGCTGCAAGCAGGAGTGGAATTGTAACGGCAAGGGAACATGTTACTTGTGTGCTTCCAACAATAAAAGTGTGTTTGTGGAAGAGTTTGCATGACCAACATATAGGAGCACTTACTGTTTAACTGTCTGGATTGTTGCAGTCAGCAAATAGAATTTGATTATTGAAGTATGACTGCATGATTTGAAAAATAGGTAGGGATGCTGAGAACTGCTGTGATCACATTGACCAGCCAAACATGCTACTTTTAACTGCCACAATTGGAGGTCAACTGAGCCCTAGATCTCTTCAATTTGTCTCTACACAACTCAAGCAGCTGTTCAACAAGTTCTAGGTACCCTCTTTTGCTTCCTGGGGTGGGAGATCAGAAGCTAAGTCTCAGCTGATCAGGGAATCATCTGAGATTACGTCTGATCCCACTCACAGGAAACTTCACCAAGGGGAAGGGGCATAGGGATGCCAACCACCAGGTGGGACCTGGGGATCCCCCATAATTGCAGCTCATCTCCAGACTACAGAAATCAGTTCCCCCTGAAGAAAATGGATGCTTTGGAGGAAGGGTTCTATGGCATTATACCCCACTGAGGTCATAGTCATCTCCAGGCTCTACCCCCAAATCTCCAGGAGTTTTCCAACCTGGAGCAGACAACTCTACCCCTCTGCCCTCCCATTTCTGGTCAAGGGGGACCTGGCAACCCTGGGGGTGGGGGCAGGAGGATAAGTTGAGACATGGCTTGTGATCTCCACCCTGGGCAACTTTGCTGTATCACAGCCTTGTAGGACGGGGATGCTGCAAAGTTTGGGTGTGATAAAGCCACTTATCACCTTGGGCAAACTTTATCCTATTAGAAGGTTCTCTTCAAATCAAACAGGCCAAGCAGCCTGTTGATAAATCTGCTTTTTTATTGTTATTTATTTATATTACTTATTTATTAATTACACTTATATCCCGCCCTCCCCACGAACGGGCTCAGGGCGGCTTACAAACAGAGGCAGCATGTGCCAAATATAAAACATTAAAACAGCATAAAAACAACCATATTTAACAATAATAAAGTGCTCAATGATGTTACCAATTTAATCAAATTAGGATGGTGACCTATAGATGTTACTGAAAAGCCCGTTTCAATGACATCGAACCATCGTAATACTGTAGCTAGATCTTTATACTGGGCCATCCCATCGCCCCGTTGTTACCATAAGATAGTGGGTGGTGGTGGTAGTGGCAGCTCCTAATTAAAAGCCTGGCGGAAGAGTTCCATCTTGCAGGCCCTGCGGAACTGTGAGAGATCCCGCAGGGCCCTGATCTCCTCTGGGAGCTCGTTCCACCATGTAGAAGTCGCTACTGAAAAGGCCTTGGCCCTGGTTGCAACAAGCCTGGCCTCCCTAGGGCCTGGGATTACTAAGTGATGTTGGGCCCCGACCGTAATGCTCTCTGGGGTATGTATGGGGAAAGGCGGTCCCTCAGGTATGTCGGACCCTGGCCGTGTAGGGCTTTAAAGGTAAGTACCAGCACCTTGAAGCAAATTCAGAAAGCTATTGGCAGCCAGTGCAGCGCTTTCAGCACAGGCCGGATGTGCTCCCATCTAGGGAGACCCATCAGAAGCCTGGCTGCAGCATTCTGCACTAACTGCAGCTTCTGAACTTGCGACAAAGGCAGCCCCATGTAGAGAGCGTTACAGTAGTCTAATCTTGAGGTGACCGTTGCATGGATCACTGTAGCCAGGTCGTCGTAGTCAAGGAAGGGGACCAACTGCCAAATCAGCTAAAGGTGATAAAAAGCCAAGCCGGCAGCGGCTGCCACCTGGGCCTCCATAGTAGTTATTGGCAATAAGAATTTCAACTGAACTCATGGGTGTTCAAAAATTCCTAAAGAGAGGTTACTACCTCCTGCTGTGTTGGTAGCTCTGTCTCAATTTCAATGTGGTATCTGACTTGAGAAATCACTGCTAAGCAAATTTGAATTCATGATATTTTAAGACTGAAGTTTGCTATCATATCCATGCAAACATCTATTTTCACAAGAAGTAGAGGCAGAAGGGGAACGTGGATTAAGTCAGGAAGCAGCATTCAAGTTACAAAAGTAATAATCCAATTCATGCAGTGAGGAAAAGGATGAAACAAGAAAAAAAACATCTTTCCCCAGCTCCTCTATAAAAAAAAATACTTTTACCCACAGTGGTCAACTAGCTGCATAGTAATAATATTGTTGAGGCTAGTTTGAAGCATTGAGAAATTTAAATGTCAGGTTTCAGAAGAGTTCTGTGTTAGTCCCAGTATTTCTGGGAGTTCAACATACAGTTATAGTGTAAAAATGTTTTGTTCTGCAGCCTCTAATAGTAGGGAGAAAAGCACAAAGATGGGGGGAAAGAGCTGTTAGAACAGGTGTATGCTTCTGTACCTAGTGAAGATTTTACCTGTTTGGGTTGCAGAGGGGGAGAGTTTTTGAAATTAGCAATAATAATTTAAATGAATGCTTAGCCTCTAAGTATCACTTTACATGGTCAAAGGTCTTTGTGCACCTTATTTTGTAATCCTTACAATTGCCTTGGAAGGTAAGTCAGTATTATCATTCCCATATTCTAGACTGGGGGAGAGGGAGTTTAGGTAGAAGGAAAATAACTTGCCTGAGGTCACCTAATGATTTAAAGGCATAGTATTGAAGCTGGGGAGTTCCATGACTGATAGCCGAGTCTCTTAGCCATTATGCTGAACCAGCTCTGTGTATGTCATGCCGAAAACATCTCTGAAGACATGAAAGTCACTTCTTTATCTTTCATCTGTATGACTGTAAACCTGACTTGCTACTTTGTTTGAAGAAAGTGCAGTTGTGTACTAAGAGCTCTGGGTTATAAGGGCCAAGTATTTTCCAATTTCTTAATGTTGATGTTCTTGTGACATGGTGATGTGTTGAATTAACTCTATATCATTTTATCAGGAAAATGCTAGTGAATTAATATATATGCTGGACTAATTTAGACTACCAGGATTGCTACCTTATGCTTGGAATGGATGATCTCAGCTAGTAACGATTTTCTCAAATATAGATCCAAATAGAGTTTATTGATTTTTACATTACTTTTTTATTACTTTATTCCCTTAGACTAAGATGTATGGTTGTTTACTGTCATCTGATCTAGTCATAAATGACTTTATATGTAAGGCTATTGACCTATATCTATAAATCTGCAAGTGTTTTAAAACAATACTTCCTTGGTCTCCCAGAACTGCTACCATATGATGATCTGGAAGAATTAAAGTTTTTTTCAATATTAATATTTATATGTGCTGGTATCTGGCGGATATTACAGTTATCGAGTTAGAAGAAATCCGGTGATTTGGGATTGTGCTTTGTGTCCTGAAAAGTGTATCTTGTCATCTTGCAGAACTGGAGAATCAAGAATCCAGAGTCTCAGAGATCCATAGCTTAGTTCACAGACTCCCTGAGAAAAACAGACACATGCTCCATTTGCTCATGAATCACTTGGCAAAGTAAGTATGTTTCTTTGATTAGCTGCCAGTTTGTCCACCTCCCTCAAAACATAAAAAGGAGCAAGAGCATCTAGGAAATTATGAAGCTGCAGTACACCAAGTCAAACCATTGGCTCATCTAGCTCAGTATTGTGTGCTTTGAATTACAGTAGTTCTTGGGAATTCAGATAGAGGTCTTTCCCAGAGTTTTACCATAAATCTGGTTTTTAACAGGAAATGCTAGGGATTAAACTTAAAATCTTCTACTTGTAAAGTATGTGTTCTCCTACTGAGCCCTGCCCCTGCAAGTTTGAAGGTATGTCAGTTCTCTCCCCACCCTGAATTTAAAGCAGGGATGACCAACTAGAAGCATTACAAAATTTAAAACTTAGGTATGTTAGCAGTTTTACCAGTAGTTTCACTTACAGCAAACAGAAGAAGGTTGTGAGAAATAGAGAGATCTCATACTTCACTGTTTCATCACTCTTCAATTTATTATGTAATGCACTGGCCATGCCCTGAACACATATGATCAATGATGTGAAGCCTCTGTACTATTATGCCGCAAATACGTTCCCAAGTTCTGCACTACTCTCTGCAGAATTCGATGAGCCTCAGAATATCAAACTGGCTAACCCGCTGTCAGCTGTCGAGCCTTTTCGAATTCTCCACACTACATGCTTGTGGTACTGGGATGTTGTTTTGTGAGTGGGAAGAAGAAGGTCAAGGATCTGTTCTTGCTTGAGGAACATACTGCTCCTGCAAGAAAGTTAAGTTCCAGGATATTCAGGAACAAGGTTAATTGTTGAGAGAACAGGCAGGGGATGTATAAATTTAGGTACAGTGTGGGAAACTTTTAAGATATAGCTGCTCTACTGCAGTTATAGCCAAGTTGTGAAGCCCAGCATATTTTACTTTCTGCATAAATATGTGACCATTTGCCCTGGTCACTAGAAGAATGAAGAGAAACATTTTGGAGGCGGAACCTAGGATAGCTCTCACTTGTGTCTTTTAGCAAACTTATAAATGGTTCCATAATTCTGGCATATCCCAAGGGCCCAGTTTTGAGGAATCCAGACTCAGAGAAGTGTTCTTGAAATTTAGTGGCAATATCTCACTGTTTAACTCCTACAGAACAAAAATGAAAAAAATACTGGGTGATAGTTGACTGATTTATTATGATACAAAGTCCCTATGTGTTTAGCCATGAAGGC